ATACAGTTTCAAATCTAAATTAGGTTAAACATTATTTCAGAAACAAAACATGAGCTGTGCCTAAACAAGTAAAACCGGCCGACTGTAACGTCAAATTGCAGCACTCGTCTGTTTTTAATGAGTTTCAATTAGTGAACGTTATGTTTAGTACTTTTACACATTTTTGAAATTCGAAACCTCACGTGTAGCTAACAAACGGCTGAAACTCGCAAAGCGGCAGACAAAATATTCCCTGAATAATTACATTCACGGCAACGAGTTTCCAAAGTCTCTGTACATTATACGCAGGGCGCAGTTAACACAAAATTATGCGCTTAACGGCCCTTCTGTAACGGCGGTTCTTATAAACACATCAAGCTAATCTGACTAACAGATCTTGTGTCTTAACTCGTTAATTCCACTCAGATTTGTCTAACCGCACAATCAGGAATTCAACAACAAATCTTGAGTTATAGCAATTACTATGTAAATTTGCGAAGTTCGCGAAATAATTTAACGCGGTGTAGTCGTCGGATTCAAAACAATTTATATGTTAATTCTGTAGATATGGACTGGGTTCTGTACACAAACGAATTAGAGCCGAATGCCCCCGGACCACGAACAAGCCGGCACGTTGTCAATCGTAGAACCATCTACTCGTATTTTATTGGGATGAGGAAAACCGAAAATATGATGTCCATCGATTTTAGAACATTTGGGGACAGGGATACTTAAATTAATATATTATATTGTATAGTAAGGGGTATCACTACGCGCTTAGGTACTCTAAGTTCCCATAACTAACATCGTGACTTTGCAAAGTTACCCCACAAAAAGGAAATGATCCATTTATAATATTCCATACGAAAACATTTCCCAACTGTGTGACAGTAGCTATTTATATTTAAGACTAAGTCCATAGTATAAAGAACAAAGTAGGTTATCTTCATACAAATGCTCCGCGCGCGGCTTATATGTGTGCGCCATAGTAGCTATGCGTCGACGCACGCACACTTTAACAAAATCTCGACCCGTTTCTCAGTGCGCCAGGCAGGGCTGACACTGTACGAGGTTCGCGCGCGCTTCACGGCTTTTCGGCACTGTTCAATGAAATAAAAAATGTCTGATAATCGTAGAAGAACGTATTGCTGTGTGTTTGGGTGTCTTAATAATTAATCGATTCCAGAACTGTCTCTGTTCAGATTAGGTACCTATTGAACAGGAAAGGTAGTCACTTTTTCTAGCATAATATAATTTGTAGGTACCTACCTACTTGATGATGAGATACCTACTTACTTATTCTTACTCTTACCATTCTTCATAGTTCCTACTCAACCAGAAATGTAATTACCTACTATACTTAAATATTATAAGAAAATGTGGTATTGTATTGTTTATTTCACAGTTTATCTGATTTGTTAAGAGCGTAGCCGAGTCGCATTTTTCCATATAAATGTATTCCCAAATTTACTTTCTGAATACTATGTATAGAGCTAAAGTTTATTTTAAGAAGTTAATAATCTTTTTATAAGCTTTTAATTTTTACTAAATTTATAAATTGATAAAATATTCAATCATAATATGCTTTTCATTTCATAAATTTAGATCAAGTGCTGCTTGTTCGAAAATATTAACTAAAAGTAAAAGTGACAACCCTGGGGATCAACGCAAGAGTAGGCTAATAACTCGGCGGGCGGCCTTAGATAACCTACTGTGTTCTTTATACTATGCTAAGTCTGGGCTAGCGTGGGAACACAAATTGTACTGGGGCAGAGAAGTTGGAAAATATTTCTATGTGCTGTGTGCTTTACGCAAGGTGTGGCTGTATTCTGGATTAAATTCAGGCAGATAGTAATTAAGAATACACTGAATAATAAACTTCAAACCTGTTATTTTTAGATTCTAAGTAAAACATGGTTGCACAATTTAATACCTCTACCCTATGCCATCATATTTAAGTTTAACAATATTGCACAAGGCAATATCGGTTCCGTGTCAACGAGAGTGACCTGAATCGACGAACATGAATATTTTCGAGCCATTTACACACCGATCAGCACAATAGATTAGGTGGAACGTTGCCGGCGTGCCAGTACAACACCAAACGTTATTCGTCTCTGTTTGGTGAAAAGCTTTGGCGAGTAAGCTCATCAATTTGGGATTTTGAACTGACAAAATCGTGTTGGTAATTGAAAACACAGGCGTTGGCCGCCAGGACAGCGATAGCTCATACGAGGAACACCCAAATATACCACACCACAGCGTTTAATCGAATTCAAATCTGCAACTGCATTGCAATCGAGAACTCGCTGAATCAGAATCGATTAAGCTCGAAATTTCTCGTTAATCGATTTAGAGGGAATCTTGGGAGTTCTCGAAGTTCTCTGGCGTTAGTTAATATTCGTCTGATTGTATCGTATTGTAGGGTATCCGGTCTAACGCCGATGGATTTCGATCAAGCTGTATTCAGGAGTCAGAAAGTATATTCTAATTTTAATTATGGAACGGATGTCAATCAAATTAGATTATTTTTATTTGGTTCTTATTGAGGAAAGCTGAGATGCTGATAGAGATTTTTCGAGAAGACGAGGACATGAAAAAAGATTTAATAACAAGTGACAAAGCGAACTTTATAAAAAGAAAACAGACGAAAATAACCTTTATGTGTATTATAAGTAGGTAAGTAATTTAATTAAAGTTTCTTCTCACCGGTGTGATATAACAAACAAACAATTACAACATCCGTATATCTCTTCTTCCGTTCCCTGTGCAGTGTTTTGGCTGTTCGCCAGTCTTATATGCAATACGTCAAGCGCATATTACTTACATAGTCTCCTTGTTCGAAGAATTTGGTGGTGTGAATGCCAATTATAATACTTCGGTGCAAACTGTGTTATACGTTTTAATTGGTTTCGAACCGGCATCGGCCCTATTGGGCCCCATCTGTAGTGGTCTGATGGCTCTTTGAGGCGCGCGCGGAACGCGACGCGCCGTACGCTCGGGTCTGTTTCTGATCGGACGGCGAGTCACCCATGCTCGCCGTCCGCAGGCCCGCGCTTACGGTGGCCGGAGATCGTCCCCGATCCCCGACGCCCGGTGTGTCCTTCGCGATGGCTGGGTTGCGAGAAGGCAGCGCTCCGCTGCCTCACGCGTCCCGCCTCCTCCTTAGCTAGCATGACTGCTTCGCAAAAGGAGGAGATGGCATCCCAGTCCCCCTCGCCCATGGGCACTTGGAACGCGTTACAAGTGCGTTATCGGTCTTTTGGGGTTAGGAATTTGAGGATTAGGGAAGGAGGGGAGATAATTGGGCCTCCAGCAATCAGAGGTTTTTTTTCTTATTTGTCAAATCCTATTAAATTAAACACATCAAACAAAATTAATGAAGGTAGAATAAGAATAGAATACGTTCATCACCAATCTGGGGACGACGCTGGACTAGACAGCAGCGCATTCTGAACTGAACTGAACCTTTTAAACTGCGATCCACCCTTTTAAACTCCAACCCATCTACCAAGTAAATAGACAAACCCTCTTTTGTAGTGGAGGCCCATGCTCCCACAGTAGACTGTAAAGGCTGTTGTTGATGATGAAATAAAATGAATAGGGTCGGTTTTCAATTGATTAAATACTTAACATAAGTCGTTCTACGATTTCTGTCAAAGGAAGCGTCTCTTTAATTATTTTGAACTAGCGACCCGCCCCAGCTTCGCACGGGTGCAATGCAAAATATACCTACTACAGAATGTCCTTATACACAACGTTCACAGCTTTTTTGTCATTAGCCAATACAAACATGTTTTGCTTAGACGTTACTGTTGACAGCGCGACATATAATCGGCCATGTGAAAAAATGAACTAATTGCACTAATTATTGGTTAGTGCTGAAGTAAAAATTATTTACTTACTATTCGTTTGACTAAAAACAAAAGATTATCAACAACAAAATATACCTATTCTATTCAGTTCTTCTATGAACTTAACTATAATTTTCAATAATTGAAAATGCTCGCCCTAATACTAAATTGCCTTAACTCTAAATTCAAATCAAAGTCTTAATGGAAGAAATACCAAGAAATATGGTTTTAAGCTAATCCTAATAAAAATTAAAAGATAATCAACAACAAAAGATACTTATTCTATTCAGTTTAATTAATTCTTGATATTTTCCTAGAGAGCTCCGATAAATGCGTGCGATCGCTGCAAATCATAAAGTGCTATATGGCGAAGCGCGGCCATCGACGCGCTATTTATAGGCACGCGCCGCCCGGCGCAAACAACTACGACCCTGCATTTTAAATTTGTAATATCTTCGGTAATATTCACTTAAATTACATGCTGTAAAAAGCATATTGATCTATAATAAATGGACAATTTATTTAAGGTACTTAAATGGATAAGGATTAATGCTGTATTGTTTAAAATCACTTCGTAAATAACCATTTTTTAGTAAAGAATAAAAATGGTTATGCTGGGTTATCCCTAAGAGATAGACATATACCATCGCAGACTTTTTTGTTGAACTTTTTAAGGTGAACAATACTGTAGTACATTATTTTGGTCTATATCGTAGGGTTCAGCCAGCGTTTGCAATATAAGCGCAAAAAAACGTGCTTATTTACGACATCACATTAGAAACCTTTAAATTTATCAGTGTTTCTCTACTATATTATGCATTTATTATACATACAAACCTTCCTGAAGAATCACTCTATCTATTAAAAAAAACCGCGTCAAAATCCGTTGCGTAGTTTTAAAGATCTAAGCATACATACGGACATACAGCGAAAGCGACTTTGTTTTATACTATGTATTGATATCAAACGACCCTTTTCAGACTGTTTTTCTTATTATTCTTTCATTAATATTTTTTATCAAGAGAATTCCTAAGAAATTTCAGTGATGTTCGTAAATATTGAAGGGCTAAATAATAAGGAAATTAGGAAGCGGAAGTATTTTATTTGTGACAAAAAAAAAACAATTTTTTCGAAGAGTTATTTATTTATTTCTTTTGATATTCTAATCGCTATTCTCACTATTGTTCTATGTGTACCTATTGTACCTACATTTTTATTAATTTGTAGAATTTAATAGAGTGTAGAAACTGTAACTGGCCCGTAAGATCTGTAACAGAAAGAGTTGATGTACAAATCTTCTTCGTATTCTGCTCAACTGCTTAACATTTTTGTTTCGCCAAAAGCTTGAATCTAAATTATTTTGAATACCCACTTACCGCAATAAAAGTAGTTAGGGACATCTGATTAAAAGGTCCAGCTCTGAAGACGAGTATCTTCTTGGTAGTGAGTCCTAACAACGCTACTTCTTTCTGCAACTTCTTGTTCGCTTCAGGCCAATCACTTTCGAAAGTGCTGTAGCTTACAAAGGTACTCTAAAACATAGAAAATTACTTATAATTCTTAGTTCCTGATGGTGAAAGAGCTAAATTACTTTTTAGGTCTTTTTGGAGTGGTGGGAAACAGTTTTTTTTGGACCAAAAGAAGATTACTAGTTTCTTCTGGCCCAAAAAAAAACTGGTCAATCAACCAACTGGTGGACCCAAAAAACTGGGTATAGGTAATGATATATGGGCATATACATGGCTATATACTGCGTTAGCATCTTCTGACTTAAAAAACTCAATTGTAGATATGTAAAACAAATTAATTACCTCAACAGTAACCTCATTGGCGAACCAGTAGAAGAGCAGCAGTTGGATTAAACAGGCGATCACGAACAAAATGCTCGATACCAAAGTGGTGATGTCATCGTGGATCTATAAAAAATCGAATATTACTCTTACGAATTAATATTTATAAATAAAAAAAAATAAAAAATAATAATCAGAAACACACTCTACTGCATCGATTATCTTTTGGATGTGACAAACTATACCTATTTAATTGTCAGCAGATATTTTTATTGAACAGATATTTTACCTCCACAATCTGTACGATGCAGACGCCCAAATTGATTGCAATTACGACCAGGTACATGAACATCACCGGTGAGACCAGCGCATTGAATAAATGTGTGTATCTGAAATAATATTTATGGTTACACAAAAATAGAGCAAAATTTTCTTTAGTTTGAGCTCTTCTTGGCTGTTTTAGGACCACTTGGCTTGGCTATATTCTTCTCTAGATTGAAAAGAAATTTGTACTTACTCAACCAGCGTGGTGTAAAAACGATGACATTTCGCAATGTTTTCATGACTTTTGGTAGAATTCAAAGCATCTATCGCTAACCTACAATACATACAGGTGATCTTCAACTGTCCAGTAAAGAATATCATTATGGACACCACAAGAGTATCCCAGCCAACGACATAAGCACTGACGATATGCCCCAACACAGTCTGGATTAACATCGAGAAATAATATCCAGGGGGCTCATTGTCAAAAGGAGTGTACCCATCAAAGATTTTCAAATAAATGCTTGTCCCATTCACATTAACCTGATTCTTCTGATAGGGTTCAGTAAAAATACTGAAGTTAGAGAAGAATGCCAGAGCCCAAAAGAAGTACGACACCTTCCGATTTCTCTTAATATACTCATGAATTATATCGTCATGCTTTTTGTCTTTTTTATCCAACTGCTTTTTCTCTACAGAAGACATGTAATCAATGACAAGTTCCCAATTCTTGTAATCCTTCTGAAAGAAACAGGACTTCACGATGCCCATATGAAATGGAGCATACTGCAGAATCAGTTTGAGAGAGTCAGCATTGAATTTAATGAAGCATTTAACATACTGACTGAAGAAGAAAGTTATGGTGACATAGAAAAGAATTTGCTTAAAACGCCCAATTAGGGTTTGGCGGTTAGGATGCCAAAGACCAGTAAATCCTAGGAGTTTGAGATGTGGTCCTACAGATGGATATTCAGGATCTTCGAGAAACTTTAGCAAATTTCCAATCGAACATTTGTCCGACATTTTTGGAAACTTCTGTACACTCTGAAATACTGGAATTAAATGATGTTAAAACAGAAAATAATTGGCGTGAGAATTTCGATGTGAAATGCAGTTGTTACGTGTATTTAGTGGCGAATAATAACAGGGTGCTTTTGCCGTTCAGATTTTCTATTAAGAATTCAGATGTTCCACGTAGTTAACTACGTATCTAATTTCATATTGTTCTATTAATTACAATGTACGAAATACAGATTGTCATTTCGTTAGAAGTGTATATTTTATTAAATTGTTTTGTGTTCCTAGGTACCTATTTCTTAGGGGAATATATCAAAATTGTATGGTTAGTCATACCTGGTAGTAATTAAGGCAGAGGTCTGCAATATGGGCCATTCTGCAAAGCGATAAAGCGACTATACTAATGTTAGTTTTTTTAGATATCGAAATGTGAATATTAATGTTTACTAAAGTAAACAGGGGTTCTACTATTTGTACGTGTAAAGTACACAATGAGCGGCTACTTCCAAACCAAATACGAATAAAATAAATAGATCGATGTATGACAACGACTATGTTACATCATTGCATGTCTTTTTATTCTAATCGTACTAACGCCTATCATATTGAACATAGCAAAAGTGCAAATGTGATTTCGATTTTTTAAACTTTAATTACTTAATTGGAACGCTGTAGTTAGACTTTTAATTAAGAGTACCTATCTACTTTATATAAATTAAGCACAGGACCAGAGCTATGACTAGATAAACAGCTATATAATATACAGGAACAATGAAAGTGTGTCTATTTCCGAAGTTTTAGTAAGAATCCCGGTTGAATGTTAAGCCTGTCGTTATGTCCAGATAAGATCGCTGGCGGAAATTAAGAGGAAATTGTATTTGTTTCTTATACAGCGACGATGTCACAATAAAGACGATATCCCTGTAAGGCTGTGTATAAATTAAATGTTAATTTTCTATTACAATTAGTACGTAGCTCAGATGGGCGGATAAAAGGTAAGGGCTTTAATCTTAAAAAGCTTTCTTCTTCATCTTATAAAGTATAATGAGTTTTGATAATAATTAAAATTGCAATAAAATAGTACCTTTTACCCTATCCACTCTCCGACTGTATAGTAAATACTTCGTGGTCTGAAACTTGTACTTTGACCTATATAGCCTGTCTACTAATGAAACCAATTAATGTTTCTGTTATAAAATTAAATTACATATCATTATTCGTAATAGTGTATTAAAGTAATAATATTAGCAATAACAAGGACGAGCAATAAATAAATTAAATTAAATAAATATTTTCTTTCTTCATTTTAGAAGTTCTGAGAAACGTGAAACGAAACGTAATATTTGACGCTTGAGAAACGCGGGCGCCGAACGAACGCGTGTGTCAGTTTAAAATTTGACGGTTACTGACTTGACTGTTGAGCGAAAGATTCAAACACCGTTTGTTTTGAAACGGAGTTATTAATAAATTTAATTTAATTTAAAACCTTGTGACCTCTGATTCATGTGACGCGAAGGAACCGTTGGAACTGTAATTGTTTCAATTGTGGGCAGTAGTGGTGTGGTCTAGTGACAGGCGTGTTTTTGATCAATGAGATAAGTTGTGTGGTGATTTTTCAAACATGGTCAAAATAGAGAGAGCCCCTGGTCTGGGCGGCGTGAAGTCTTCAGCTCTTGCACCATCGAAGAGTGGATCAACACAGAACATGGCTGCAAATATAAAGGTTGTTGTGAGGGTTCGTCCTTTAAACCAAAGGGAACTAGACATGAACACCCGCGTCGTGGTGGATGTAGTTGACGAAAAGATGTTAGTGTTCGATCCCAAGGAAGAGATGAGGCCGTTCTTCTACCAAGGAGTCCAGCAACCTAATAAGAACTTTCTAAAGCGTGCAAACAAGGAGTTAAAGTTTGTATTTGATAATGTATGCGGCCAGAATGCAACCAACAACGATGTGTTTGAAACTACTACTAAGGACATTCTGTCTTCTCTGATGGAGGGGTATAACTGTTCTGTGTTTGTGTATGGAGCTACTGGTGCAGGCAAGACCTTCACTATGATTGGTAACGCTGAGAATCCTGGCATTACCTATTTGACCATGGAACATTTATTTTACACAATTAATTCTTTTGAAAAGGAGAGGGAGTTTGATATTGGAGTTTCTTATATTGAGGTATGTCTTTAATTATTGTTTATTATAATTTTTAGCCAGCTATCTAGTGTTGTTATTTTTGTTATGCAATTAATTTGTTTTGAGTTATCAGCATTGTTACTAAGTTTGCATATGTTTGTTACATAACTTCATAGTTTTTGTCACCTCTTTCTACCAAATATAAATATTTAGTACAGTTACTAGAACAGACTTATTGCCACTATTGTTAACATGCTAGCTGCTACCATAATTTATCAATTATTAATTACAGGTATACAACGAAAATGTATATGACTTATTAAAACCTTCAAGCACACCTCTGCAACTGAGGGAGGACTCGAAGTATGGTGTCATGGTGGCTGGATTGACGCTGAACAGTATCAAGACTGCACAGGAACTCCTTAATATGCTGGAGAATGGCAACAAGAACAGGACACAACATCCAACAGATGCTAACGCTGAGAGCTCCAGGAGTCATGCAGTTTTTCAAGTAAGTTTCTGTCATTAGAAGTGTTATGCCTGAATACTGAAACGTTACTCAATTTTAAGTCACGTTTAAGTGTAGTTCTGTCACCACTAATTCTTTGTGAAATGACAGAGATGGCACGATATTTAAGCACGACTTAAAATTGAGTAATGTTTCAGTATTCCGGCATTAGTTATGCTAATTTTTAAGTGTGTCAAATGCACTGAGAACATTGTCTATGTTTGTATCAATAAAAAAGTGTCTGCTGACAAATAATGTTAGATAATATTGGTTGAACATTCAACAGTACTTATCTGTCAAATATTTAGTCTTCATGTTCTACTACTTGGAGTCAATGAAATACTAACATATTATCAATAAAAAATTTTGGGTAAAAGCTAAATTAGCTAGTAATTTATTAGCTCTTGATATATTACTTGTTACATAATACGAGGATTGTAGTCTTATTTTTTTATAGTTTATTATAATGTGTGTACATAACAGTTACATCAAAAATGTTAGAATTTAATAACTAATAAAGTATAATAAAAGATAACGTAAAATTACTATTTACAAAGAGCATCAAGTCTTATTTGTAAGTATTATTTTAAGAGTGAATTCTGTTCCCTTTTGGTTCAAATGTTGCAACATTGATTATAAAATTGATTTCAACAGGTGTATGTAAAAATGCGCTACAAGACAAGTAGTCAGCTGCGCATTGTGAAGCTCTCTATGATCGACCTGGCGGGCAGTGAGCGCGCGTCTGCTACCGGCTGCGTTGGCGACCGGTTCAAGGAGGGCGCCAACATTAACAGGAGCTTGCTATCATTGGGCAACTGTATCAACAAGCTGGCAGATGGCAGCGCTTATATACCTTACAGGTAATGACTTCTCTGCTACCTTTTTAAAGGAATTGTGTTTTAGGATATCTTCGAAAAACATTTCATGACATTGCCTTAAGCTCAAAATAGGTATCTTATGTTTGAAATCTCTCATACTATGAAATTGCTAGCTTATCAGCCTGTTACTATACTGTCACTAACTTTAAGACAACTATTGTTTAATAAGTGAAATATATTTATATTTGGTTTTTCCAGAGACTCAAAACTGACAAGACTCCTGAAGGACAGTCTCGGCGGTAACTGCAAGACTGTCATGATCGCCAATGTTTCCCCTGCAAGCACCAGTTACGAGGACACTTACAACACACTCAAGTATGCAGCCAGAGCCAACAAGATTCAACTGAGTATAAAGAAGAATATTGTAGAAGGAGATGTCAGGTTGTCACAGTATGTGAAGATTAATCAAGAATTGATGAAGAAAGTCAAGGAATTGGAGGCGAAATTGTCGCTATCTAGTCTTAAGGTCGTGTCTCGGGAGCCGGACATGGCTAAGGAGAAAGGTATTGTTCACTACTTATCTTAAACTTTTTACAGTATTGTGTGTATACTGGCTAGATAGAATCGAGTTTGCTCTATTTATTGATTGGTCTGGAAAGCCATATAATACAGAAACCTATATCTCATGAAAATAAAAACTATACAGCATCTACTATAGTCACACTAATTCTTTAGTTTCATGCATTTGGTCATATAAACGCGTGATAATATAGTTTGTTATTTGTTGATAGCAAAACAAGAATGGCGTAAGCGCATCTCTGCAGAGGAGGAAGTGTACAGTGGCCTGGAGTCCAAGCTGCTGAGCCTGATGTCCCGCCAGCGCGTGCTGGCGCTGCGCCAGCGCCTGCGGACGCGCGCCTTCACACATGTCGCAGACCTCGCGCACAGGTCCTCCACTGAAGCTATGGAGCAGGTAGTAAACCATAAACTAAATTGAAATGTTCAATTTGTATAATAATAATAATAATAAGCCCGCAGGGCACCTTGAGGCGAGGTGACGGGCATTAGCGATCCCGCGGGCTACCATCATCCCGAGTGCTCCAGGGAGAAGTCACCGTTCCTTCTTCTCCGGCTTGCCTTAATTGGCTGGCTGGAGTGAACGATGACAAGGAACAGGTCTCCCACCTCTGGCTTGCCTTCATTGGCCGTCCAGAGTGGAGTCGCGAGAGCAGTGATCCTGCTCGGAGGGTAAGAAACTATTCGTAAGTCGCGAGTGGGCCAGGGATGCAGGAAGCTTCGGCTGGAGCAGATGATCTGAGTAGAAAGCGGTGGTAGTTTCTTAACCCTTCAGCCACTCACATTCTCGTTGCCCCTCTGTTGCTATATCTAGCAACCATTCCCGGGGCCCGGTCGGTGAGTTGGCGAGTCTCCGCCTGCCATTTTTACGTGTAATAATTACATTGTTTCGGCAGGTGCCATAGTCATCCATAGTTCCCAATTTTCCAGTCCACAGCAACCCATCCATAGCCCTATCTTTTTTTTCCATTATCCTCAATAGTTTTACACTAACCGGAGACTGTCCTTGGGTGCATTTCCATAGTGCATACAGGGATAGTCGCCGGTTTGTGTGTCCATTACATTTATATTAAAGTTGTCTAAAGGGCCTCTGCGCAGTTGGCTTCGGCCCCTCGCATGCCTCCCAAATGACCGGGACCCTGTGGTCCCGTGAATGGTAAAGACATACAATAATAATAATAATAATAAAGCCCTTTATTCTGAATTTTTACATTACGAGTTGTTACAAAAAGGTTACAGTATATCTCTTAATTCAGTGTGTCTTTTGGCAAAGGCCTCCTCTAGCTGTCTCCATTGAATTCTGTCGCGGGCCACTCTTCTCCAGTTGGGTCCCGCTGTTAGCCTTAGTTCGTCCTCCCATCTTTTTAACTGCTTTCCTCTGTTGCGTTTACCGTCTCTTGGATACCAATCAGTGACTATCTTGCACCATTTTTCCTTGTTTTCTCTCATCATATGACCGGTCCAACGCCATTTTTGTTGGTCAATTCTTTTTAAGATGTCTATAACCTTTGTTTTTGCTCTTAGTTGGTCGTTACTTACATGCTCCACCTTATGTATACCTATCATACTTCTTTCCATGGATCTTTGACAGTACTGAAGTTTGTTTCTATGTTGTTTTGTGAATCAATTTGTATACTATCTTTTAACTATTGAGTCTCTATTAATGTATTCTTTTTTTATTTAGATGTGTAACGAAGAAATCCCACGTCAAGAACGTGCAGCGGAAAATTACATGAAACAATCTGTAAACTTAGACTCCAAAGTACTAACTGCTTGGACGAAATGGGACGAAAGCAAGAAAAAACTCCACGTTATATGTCAACAAGCACTTTCAGACTGCCCAGAACTCAGTGATTTCGTTGATAAAGTGCACTTGAACAGTGAATTACGACAGATCAGAGCTAGAGATAATTTAAGGCAGAAATTATTATCTATAGAGAATGATGAGATCGAAGCCTTCACGGAATACATGAGCGACATGCCCAGTATGTTGAAGAAATTGTATCTGACGCTGAAAGGCTATGACAAAGCCCCGCCAGCATTGACAGCGGAATACTTAGAAATCATGAAGAAAGCGAAATCAGCTAAGGGCATCACGTGGTCGGACGATGGTAACGAGGGCGATGCTCACTTCAAGTTCGTCTCGACATTAGATCTCAAGAAACCATCAACCACACTAGAATATGGTTTCTCTAAAAAGGATGACGTTAACACAACCGTCGATATCATTACCGATAGTGATGATCTTACTGACTTAGAGAATAAGGAACCGATCAAGTTATCAGCCAAGAAGCGCAAAGGAACACCTATTAAACTGCTTAATAACGAAACTATAATTATAAACGATTCCTTCGAGAGTATGGATACGACGAGAAACTTGAATTCTGCCAAGAAGATCAAGAGGGAATATGACTTCGCCGCGGACGTTGAAAACTATGGTGTTATTGATCCTAAAGATCTGAATTCGACATTTGTGATGACTGGAAAGGTGGAATCTATAAAGAAACCATTCAAAACTGAATTCAAGATGGAATTAAATCCAGTGAAGAAGGGACTGACGGATAGAACAAATACTATGCCAAGGACTATCAATTTTGGTGACAAAGGTAATGTGCCAATAGCTTGAACTAGCAATCGAAGTATTCTGGTTTTTAATGCCTTGTTATAACGATAATTAATCCTTCTTTCCAGCTAAAGTAGTGAAGCCAGTGATCGGTAAGGCGTTACCGTTCAGACGTCCACCGCTCCAGCAGAACCCGCCACAGAGAAACTTTGGTTTCGGCTCCAGTGTACCGCGGGACGCGCAAGCTCAGAGAAATGTGCAAGGTACTTATTAATTTTAACCTTATGCATGTGGGAATTGAGATATTTTTCATTATGACTTGATAAGTGACGATTGTTTGGTTAGCATAGAGTAGTTGTTTTAGGTGGTGAAATTAAAGGTTTATAATTAGGTGATGTTCAAAATGTTAGAAAAAATATTATTTCTTTTAATATTTCTTTTTATCAAGGAATCAAGGAAAGTAGAAAGTATCTACTAATATCTAGTACCTACCTATAGAAGTACCTATTGTCTCTACAACAATATTAATACAAGATATTTTTGTAAGTAATCTAGAGAGATTACTTACAAAAATATCTACAGTAACTGTATCACACCTACACTAACCGTATCAAGGGTATTATTTTTATTTGGTTTTAATAATGGAACAGGTCGTCATTTTGTCCGTCCCGTCTTTGTGTCGTAACTCGTAAATAATATCGATTATAATCATCATGTCATAAACACCTGAGCAAAGGACCGTAACATTTTTTAATATTGGAAAATGTTATCTTTACGCTTTATGAAATTCACGCTCGTGTTTTCATGACTCAATTCGTTTTATTTATTTCAAAATGTTCAACTTTCAATTTTGTATACCTATTTTGCTCACATGGAGAACAAGATTTTGCCCTTAACTTATCTGTTGGCGTACTGCACGATTATAATTACGGGTTCGATTCCTGGATTAGGGCAAAAACATAGTAAAAATAGCACTGTACACAAAAATTTTGCTACATATACTACACATGATGCATGATGCGTTGTTCGTATGTTTATGTTACCCGTAAACGTTGTTGTGGTATCCCAATTTATGTTCTAACTCACTAACAATTCCCTTCCATGTCGTGTGTGTGCCGTATAACAAACTAATAGACTCGATGGCTCGGGGCAAGACGAATGTAACTCAAAAATCAGTCGGTTGTAAAGCAGTGCGGGCCAGGGACCGGTTCCAGTCACATCCTTACTCCAGGCCGCCGCCCATCTCTAGGAAATAACGACGAACACAAGACGACTGTACAAATAGGCTACGTAATAGAGGTTTGTATGACCTAATTATGAATGTTAATCTTAATATTAAGTTGATTTAAGATTGTAGACTGATTGCAATAACAATAATCTGTCACATATTTACTGAACTTAAACCAATTTAAGTTCTTTCCACAAATACTTTAATTAAAACATAAGATGTTAATGTTAGTACAAATAGAGAATGCTCGTCTAGAATATTCGAGACTAAGTCACAAATTAACTAGGTAACTAATTAACTTGTCACAAAAATGCCTCTAAGCTTCAAAATTTCAAATATACATTTTGTTCAGTCAATACCTATAGAAATAATTACACAAGTCGAAGTTTGTTGTTTAATGTTTACTATAGTTTATACATAAAACAGTTTCACAGACTGCTAGACTAGTTGATATCAGAAATTCAAATAGTATTAGTGAAAATAATACGATTCTGATTTTCAATATGTACTCAGACTAGATCGTGTCTACATTCGCGAAGTTTGGACTAAAATTTAATCTAAATCGAAACTTCGGTATTGGTACGTCAGAATTATTGAGTGTGTCGCTTTGATTGGTCGCTCGTGTTAAACGCTATTTTGTCCACTTGGGATTGCTAACACTTTGTGGGAAAATTGACCAGATATTTCAACTCTAACTAGAAATTTGTTTATAACGATGACTTTGTTTGTCATACTCCAGCAAATGTACCTGATACTCACTATAAAGCATATTATTCAAATGTTACAATTTAAATTAAAATAACATACGATATTTATATGGGCTTCCATGTGTATGCTAATTTTATACATAAAATGTAGCGATACACGTTGCACGCGTTGCTTCCAAATAAATAAACATGTGTTGTTTTCTCTACGCATTTAGATTTTCACTCGTAAAGAATTTTCTTTTAGCAAAATTGAATAAAATGTTTCGAATAAAAACGATTGATTTGGTTACGGCCGATCGCATAAAATAAATTATTTATTTAGTGTATCTATGCGACTTACTTCGACTTAGGCTTCGGAAAAGAATTACTTTTGTACCTAAGTATTCTTTTCTTTTCTCAACGTCGACATCATATTTCTTATACCATTTATAGAACCTATATAGTTTTAACATAGTTTTAAAATGCTGCTTTAAATAATTTGTATTTTGTATTAAAAATAATTGTGTTTTTGTAAATGTATTGATGTTTCATTCAACATTGTATTTATTTTGTTTTAATGGTATAGATTTTTACTTTTATAATAACTTATTGTAGTCTGGCATTGTGTAGATCTGTGGTAATGTAACCATTATGAAATGTTAAAATAAGTTATCGATATTTCCTATCGATTAAGCTGAGACTTAATTGATGTGATATATGAAAGGTTTTGTGAAATAATATAGTATTTTGTCACTATCTTTTTGTCTTATTATTAGAGTTTCCAGAAATTCAAAAATATTTTTTTTATGATTATGAACTTTTGTAGACATTAGAAATATTTTAAAATGACGTCACTACAGAAAACGATTCTTGCCCATACTGATTTTGATTTATTTTCATACATTTGTGCTACCTTGGAATAATTTTGATACTTTACCGAATTGTTTTTCTACATTTACTATATCTTTGTAAATTGCGAATTTTCTTACTAGAATGTCTGGTATATAGTGTGTAGACAGCTATAGTAATAATATAATTGTAACTAATGCTTAGATTTTTAATATATCGTGTACAATTATTACTAATGACTGAATTATTTTTAGGCTTATTGTTTTTATGATTTAATATTGAATATGTGGAGGTTTAATTAAACAATTTGAATTGATTTATGTTTTCTTTTGAAAGTAGAATTGATTGTTCTCTGTGTACCTATAGACTAGAAAGGTACAACCCAGTAGGACATATTTCATCTTATTAGGGTATGTTTACATGGTAGCGGAATTTCCTTTTGCGATTTTCTCCAATCATCTTAACTAAAGCTAAATAGTGATCGTTCCGTATGGCTACTTTAAACTATACTATGTGTAAATGTTTACGGGAGACACAGTAGGTACCGAAGCTACACGTAACAGACACCCTTTCATTAGAGTATCAATTAAACCCAAAGAACGAAACTTCGACAGGCAGGCAACAGAAAAAGTCGCAGTGACATTACTACAAAAATTGCGCACTAGTGAAACTTGAACCCTGCTGTTAGTGGCTCTTCACACAGTCTGTATGCGACACTTTACACCCCAGTCTGTCGTATGTTAATTTATTCCTATTTTTAACTGCGTTCCACTACACTGTGATCTGACCCGTATGTAGACCCCATTAGATCCGTGTGCACTCCCGTACTGGAGTCTAATTACGACGGGTACAAATTGAAGGCTTTGAAATACACCCCGGCTTTCTACATGCTTCCCGTACCGTGCAGCTAAGTTCAAATGAGATATTCGATTCCAAAATTTGCACATACACAACTGAATTTGCTGGAATGCAACGTAAAATGTGAACGGCTCATAGTTTTCGTTTCGTTTTTTTAATGATGGGTTTTTTGTAAATTCTACAATTTCGCAGTCAAAAATTTAAACTAGGTTTGTTTTTATGAGCTTATGAACTTAACTTACTTACTTAGGATATGATTAAACGAACGAGGGAGGTACTCCTTTTTGGGAAGTCGAATAAAAACGAGCAGTGGTCATAAGTTATGACCACTGCTGAAACTTCTCGAATAATGATGGTTATGATCATTATTCGAGAAGTTTTAAACGTATAGAATACGTATTTTCGTTTTGTCTGTAGCAATTTTTCTGTATAGTATACTTACCTATATTAATTATTCTGTTTTAGTTATGTCGAAAATTGGTAATGTAATTGTCATTAAATATTAACTAAGCTTCCTGGTATTTAGTCAAAGCACTGTATTTTTTTTTGGTACTCAATTAAGCTAATTTCTTCGGAATGCAAATAGTCAGCAACAAGCAACAACATCAAGCGATTAATTAAAATTGATGTCACGTCTCGATTCATTCCGCGCCGAGTCCCAAAGGTAGGCAAAATAAAAAGTCGGGGAAAGGTGACAACAAAAACGCGTCCAACCCTGAACGAACCGCAAATGAATTGATTCAACGCAATCAATTTTTTTCCCGCCCTTATAACTTGGGAGCTAGGGTACACGTCGACTCATTCACTCCCTCCCTGATTATCGGTCAATCATTCGGTCTCACCGTTCAGTTAACTGGAAAATTGATAATTAGGTATAGGTGATAAAATGTTGAGTGTACCACTGTTAGTAGAGAGATAGTACGGTCATGGGCGCAGTTTGATTGGAAAATCTTAGAGCTAAAGCTGAGTACCTACTTGCACCTTAGCTACAAGAGAAATTGCACAACATTTCGCGATACTGGTGGAGATATGTTGTTGACGTAGTCGCAGTCATCAACCGGGAACATGTGGCGGAATTCGTAAGACATATGAACTCAGTGCACAGTAGCATACACTTTTCCACTGAGAAGAAAAAAGATGGAATGATGCCGTTTCTGGACGTCCTCGTAAGTCGTGGAACAGACGGTCGGCTGTCGCACACGATTTACCGTTAGTACATCACAACCGCCGTCGTTGATACCACAAATAGAGGAAAGTGCGCGTGAATCACGGCAGAGGGCGCGCTAGCCAGTAGCAGCGCGACAGTCGCCGCATCGCAGGTCGCGATATGCTGCTCATGAATATGAGCCTCTAGCATGGCTTGAAACTAGTCGAGTTCCTCGTCAAATAATTACGCAAGTAAGCTGAAAACGTAATTAATTTACAGAGCCACTATTCACTAAAATCAATACACTATTATTTAGGTACCTACCTAGTACCTACCTATCATATATTAGTCCTTCACGGACCTCGGGAGCGATTAGCATAGAACTAATTATCTTGTAGGTTTAGCGACATGTGTTTGTTAACCGTTTGACAAGCCGACGGTGATCGCTTCGTATTCATAAATTCTTAACTAGGTGCATCTGTATTTTTATTATAATTGGAACTATAAAGATAGCTAATTACATGCTAGAATTACTCGTATTAAGTTTTCAATCGGTCTGGCTGGACTGCTTTTCAGAGCACATATATTTAGGTAAGGTAGGTTGGTAGGTACCTACTAATTATATCTAGGCTATGCACTGCTTTTTAGTTATCAGTAGCTGTCTGCCTTTTATTGGTCGTAGGTACTTACTCGTGATACTTAAACACGACAGTGTACCGTTTACTGCCTAACAAATTATACTTACCTTATTGCAGATATATATCTATGTCCCCCCATTGTAACTAAATTATTAGAAGTTTCAAACAATGCAGTTACTTTAACCTTCTTTTACACAATCCTTTGTAGCGTTGTGAGTCGGACTTCCCGGGGGGACAGTTTTGTCGTTTACAGATCACTACCCCCATCTGACAGTAAACTTGTCGCAAAGTTCGGTTGTTTCGCTTCTTTTTTTTACACGTGTGGGTTTGTTGTTCTTTCCAATTCGGATAGAATATACGGGCTTACAAGGAAGTACTTAGTTTTTAGTTCCCAAAGTATCGACGTTTGTGGACGGTAGAGCTCCGCTATTGTTCTGATTTGACCGACCTATACACGCCTAAGCACCGAATTTGAGCATTATATTCCACATGAACGATGAGTTAAATTACAAATGCTCAAATGCATTTGAGATGTAATCACGTTAATTTTCTTTATCATATTTAACAATATTTATCTACTTAGACACCTATAGTTAGTTAACTATTAACACGTTAATCCGGGTATCTGTGCTCTACAACAAATCACACAAGAACATCTTTAAAAAAATTGGAAAGACAAGAGAAACGTGAATAACGTTCAAGTACTTAATTATTGTATTTTTGGGTTTACTACAAGCAACTCGACTAGTTTCAAGCCACGAGGCTCATATTCAAAGAACCAAAAGCCGAAGAACATTATAATTATTTATAAATTATAATATAAAACATTAAAGTAAAAAATAATACACAG